TAATCCATTACATTTTAAACATAAATGAGGACATTCTTTACACAATCCACTAGCTGTTTCCTCCACATATCCCTAAATACAATCACATTAAGGTCCATCTCGAGTTCCTATTTCTTTACATCCGTCGCATTCAACTAATCCATTACATTTTAAACATAAATGAGGACATTCTTTACACAATCCACTAGCTGTTTCCTCCACATATCCCTCAATACAATCACATTTAGGTCCATCTCGAGTTCCTATTTCTTTACATCCGTCGCATTCAACTAATCCATTACATTTTAAGCATAAATGAGGACATTCTTTACATAATCCACTAGCTTTTTCCTCCACATATCCCTCAATGCAATCACATTTAGGTCCTTCTCGAGTTCCTATTTCTTTACATCCATCGCATTCAACTAATCCATTACATTTTAAGCATAAATGAGGACATTCTTTACACAATCCACTAGCTGTTTCCTCCATATATCCCTCAATGCAATCACATTTAGGTCCTTCTCGAGTTCCTATTTCTTTACATCCATCGCATTCAACTAATCCATTACATTTTAAGCATAAATGAGGACATTCTTTACACAATCCACTAGCTGTTTCCTCCACATATCCCTCAATACAATCACATTTAGGTCCTTCTCGAGTTCCTATTTCTTTACATCCATCGCATTCAACTAATCCATTACATTTTAAACATAAATGAGGACATTCTTTACACAATCCACTAGCTGTTTCCTCCACATATCCCTAAATACAATCACATTTAGGTCCTTATCTATTTAATTAATCGATACAAATTTCACAGTCTAATTTTGGACTGCACTTTAAACATAATGGTGGACATTATATACATTATTTAGTATCAATTTGTTCTATATAACCTTCTATGCAATCACAATTTGGTATTTTCCTCTTTAATTAATCAAAACAAGTTATACATTATAAACTTTAGTCACATTATTGACATAAATCAGAACATTGTTAAAGAAATTATTTTATCAAAATATAAATAAATAGTGTATAAACTAATTACATTTTTTAATTGAAAAAAAGTGTATTTCCAATATGTTTTTTTCTAATTTTTTTGTTTAAAATTAATGTTAATATTATTTGAAAATACTTTAATTAAATTTTTATATATTTAAAAATCAAATTTTTTTTTTTAAAAATTAAATTTAATTTATTTATTTAATCAAAATAAAGTATTTTTCCTATTAATGCTTTTTATATTCAATAATTTTTACTAAAAATAATTTAGCAAATTAATTAATCATATTTAATTTTATAAATATATTATTATTTTTTATTATTTTTTGTTAAAAATATTTTTTTTTTTTTTTTTTTTTTTAGTAATTAATAAAAATATTAAAATTTTAAGGAAAACAAGAAGATGAAAAAATAATAATTTAATCAAAAAAATAACCAAAATTTTCAAGAAAATGAACTATAAGATTAAGAAAATGATTTTTGTAATAAAGGCGATTCATAATCATAAAAATAATTTTATACAGGTTCTTCGTTTCAAGTTTCAAAAAAAATAAATGTAAATTTATACATATAAATACATAAAAATTGCAAAAATATATTTATATTTCAAGCCAACCCTTTAAAAATAATTAAAATGTTTAGAAGAATATGAAAATTTAGATTCTTAAAAAAAATAAGAATATGATAATGAATTTTAAAAAAGTGAATAAATCCCAAAAAACATTTATAAATCATAAACTTATTATTCATAGAATTAACCTTTAAAAAGTTCAGAATAAAGGATATTTAGTAAATAAGACGATAAAATAAATAATATTAAGGGAGTTTATAACAATTCGAATAGTTTTAAATTTTAAGATTTTTTAAAAAAAGATATTTCTCAAGAAGATTTTTTTTTTTTTTTTTTAAATAAAATAAATTTATTTTTAGACTGATTTAGTTTGTTCATAATAAAAAATAAAAGAAATAAATGACTTTTTTAGCTAATTTTAGTAATAAAATAATTAAAAAAAATCTATTTTAATACTATATGGACCTTCCGGATGTGGGAAGAAACAATAATTAAATATTTCGCGAAAAAATATGAAATGTAATATATTCACTATTCAACTTTTGATGATTAATTAAGAAGTTATATATTATAAGAAGATGATTCTGTCTCAAGTAGTAGTGGATATAGTGATTATCATGAAGCATATTCAAAAAAGTTGAATCCTTTGAAAGTTTTAATGTATACTTTATAATAAGTTTAATCAATACTTCACTAGTAATAAATATATATTCATATTTTTATTTATTAACTTTTTAAAAAAGATAACAAGTATTTGTATTAGAGGAGTTACCAGAAGATCTTACTTATGATAATTTATAAAATTTACAGAAATATTTAAATAATAGTTTTTAAAAATAAACATCATATAGTATGCTTGTATACATTATTAATACATCAATTTATTCGTAAAAACTAATTAAAATAATAAATTATTTAAAAATTATAAAAAAGTCGAAACAAAGTTGAGAAACTTTTAAAGGATAAAAATGATAATTTTTATTATAAAAATATTGGAGAAATTCAGTATATATATTTTTTTTTGTTAAATTTAAAAATAAAAATAAAAAAGTATGACTAAAGCAACAGATACTTAATTAAAAAAATTCATTTAAAAAATCACAAAATAATGTTCTGAATTTAAATCTTATGATTAAAGATAACTATCTAATATTATTTAGGATATTCAAACAGTTTCAAATGGAGATATATCTAATGCTTTAATGCAATTAAAAATTTATTCTCTTTCAAAATATAAAAAATAGCAAATATAAATCAATAAAGATCATTAATTTAGTATATTTCACTCTGTAGGAAAATTTTTATATAATAAAAGGATATTTAATACAAATGATGAACCTAAAGTAATGACTAAATAATAGCTTTTAACAGGAAAAGCGAATTTCTATTTTTAGCCGACAGAAATTATTTAACAAATTAATTGCGAGTTTCCATTTTTTATAAACTTATTATAAGAAAACTATTTGGATTTTTATGGAGATATTGATGATGTATGCAAATAATCATAAATTTTTTAATTTTCTGATATTTTCGATAATTATTTATTTGAAGAAAAGGTGTTTAATAAATTAATATATAACTTAATTTTTTTAAAAATAAAATAAAAAATAAATATAGAATTAGTGTATTAAAGAATAATTTTAATTATTATAAGCTACTATAGTTGGTGAAGGAATAATGCTAAATAATTTAAATGGAAGTGTATTCTATATATTATATTAATTTACTTCTTTTTAATTTAAAAAAATTATTAAAAAAGTTAATAAAAAATAATTTACGTCTTTAAAAAACAATACTATGTACACTTTAATGACTAAAAAAAAGAAACTTACTAAACAATCAAAAAATAATATCCTTCAATATCTCCGAGGAGATTTGTGACTGAATATAATAATTATTTAATATATATAAATGGCTTTAATACAAAAGATATGATTAAATTAAATAAAATTAGTAAAGTAGTAAATTAAAATATAGATGAAGAGTTAAATACTGATTAAATATAATATGAGGGTTTATATGATAAAAAATCATAAACTTAATAAATATATTCGAAATGTGAATAAATAGTTATAAAGTATAAAAAATATTTTAATTATTAAATTTATAACTTTTTTTTTATAAAGGAATAAATATGAATATAGTGATGATATTGAAGAAGTAATTTGACAATAATTTTTTTTTTTTTTAAATAATACTAAAAAATATATATTATTATTATCATTTATTTATTATTAATTAAAATAAATTTCATTTTATAAAAAATATATTTATATGTATTTATTATTTTAAATATTAAAAGTTTTTATTTTACTTTTTATTAATAGTAATAGTTTTAAATAATTTAATTTTTATTTCTTTAAAATATATTGATTAAATTTAACAAAAATTTAACCCTATTCTCAATAATTAGTTATCAAATAAAATTTATAATAGTTTAGAGATATTTGTTTAAATAAAAACAACAACATAAGCCTTTAAAAAAGATAATCATAGTAGATTTTTATATTAAATATCAAGCGAAACTACTCAAACATTAAACATATGTATTATTGTGTTTAAAATAAAATAAAAAAGTAATAAAAGAAATTATCTAATACTAGTTTATTGTAATTTTAAATAATAATAAGTTGCTTTTGTAAAAATAAAAAAGAAATATAATATTTTATTAATAATTCTTAATTTTTTATATAAATAATCAAAATAATAAAAACTGAGTATTAATTATAATTAAAATAAAAAGCCAAAGTCTTGCCGAAAAAATGCAGTTTGATACAATTTTTTCAATCTAAACATAATAAATAAAAGATTAATTTTTTCAAGTAGACAATTAATATAATTATTATTTGCACAAAAAAAAACATAAATTAGCAAGAAACTAAATTTAAGATTTATATAAAAAAAAT